AACTGTGGAGAATAACTACACGAAAAGAGCCACTGAAGCCTTCAGTTAAAGCAAGGAAATGCGAAGGAGAGACACTAAGTTTATGGTCACTTAAATAAGGAAAGGTCGGGGAAGAAGACATAGATAGGTCACTTAAATATCTCTATGTGGTGCTTCTGAGAGTAGGGTTCTTTGATGGAATCCCTCAATTTCAATCTCTTGGCATCAAAGACGTGTGTTCCGAACAACACATTGAATTAGCAGCACAAGCTGCGAGGGACGGAATTGTCCTGCTAAAAAATAATGATGATACTTTACCCTTGAAGTCTGATACGATCAAAACCTTAGCTATGGTTGGTCCACACGCTAACGCTACAAAGGCTATGATTGGAAATTATGCAGGTACATATTTTTTAAATACAAACACAGTTCAATTGTATTATAAATCTAATTAACATTTTGATTACAGGAATTCCGTGCCGATATATCTCTCCTATTGATGGGTTTTCGACATATGCAAAAGTGAGTTATGCAAGTGGATGCGTCGACGTTGCTTGTAGGGATGACAAGTTGGTATTCCCAGCAATGCAAGTTGCACAGGAAGCTGATGCTACTATAATATTAGCAGGTATTGACTTGTCTGTTGAAGCCGAAACCAGAGATCGGGAGGATCTCCTCCTTCCAGGTATTGACTTGTCTGTTGAAGCCGAAACCAGAGATCGGGAGGATCTCCTCCTTCCTGGTTACCAAACTGAACTTATCAACAATGTTGCGAATGCTGCCAAAGGTCCAGTTATTCTCGTAATCATGTCAGCAGGAGGAATAGATATCACTTTCGCTAAAAACAATGTCAACATCAAAGCCATTTTGTGGGCTGGGTACCCTGGAGAAGAAGGTGGTCGGGCCATTGCAGATGTTGTTTTCGGAAAACACAATCCTGGTAATTGACTGACTAGTAGTTTTAATTAAGAAATTTCAGTTTTTAATAATTTTTGTAATTTTTTTTTTCTTTTTTTTCGGTTCAGGAGGAAGACTACCACTCACTTGGCATCAAACAAATTTTGTTGATCAACTACCAATGACATCACTACAATTGAGGCCAAATGATGAATTAAGCTTTCCAGGTCGAACTTATAAATTCTTTAATGGCTCTACAGTTTACCCATTTGGGTATGGACTCAGCTACACTAACTTCACTTACAAGTTAACATCTCCAAGAACATCAGTCAATATAAAACTAAACAGGTTCCAACATTGCCATAATTTGAACTACAAAGAAGACACCTTCACACCTCCATGTCCATCGGTCCGAACTAATGACTTATCCTGTAAGGAAAGTTTTCAGTTCGATATTGAATTGAAAAATGTGGGATCCAGAGATGGAAGTGAAGTTATGATTGTATACTCCAAGCCTCCGGAAGGAATTATAGGGGCAAATATTAAGCAAGTGATTGGGTTTAAGAGGCTTTTTGTTAAAGCTAAAAGTAGTCAGAAGGTTAGTTTTGAGTTTAATGTTTGTAAAAGCCTGCAGATCATAGACTACAATGCTTATAGTGTTCTGCCATCGGGAGGGCACACTATCATGATTGGGGATGATGTAATTTCTTTTCCATTTCAAATTAGTTTTAGTTAGGTAATTAGAGCCTGCAGATCATAGAACTAACAAATGACTAATTATAGTGTATCTGCACTTCGGGAGGGCACACTTATCTATGATTGGGGATGATGTAATTTCTTTTCCATTTCAAATTATCATGATTGGGGATGATGTAATTTCTTTTCCATTTCAAATTAGTTTTAGTTAGGTAATTAGTAGTGATAATAAATTTTGAGTTAGGGAGATGTTAGCTAGCAACGTAGCTATTGTCTAAAATTAGAAGTGAATAAAATTTAGTTTTGATTCATGATTTTGTTAGTAAATGTCTCTTATTATTTTTTTTTGAAAATCTTAAAAATGAATTGAGAAAAAGTTGGTTTCCGTGAAATCTTATAAATTAAACCATGATACATAAGATATGTTTTGGTTGGCGAGTGCGCTGCGCTTATTTCTGCTGCAGTTACAAATTGCTCTGTCTGGTTCTTGGTTTCTCAGATATTGGCGATGCAAATAACCCTCTCTACCTTTTAATAATATTATCCTTGCTTATATATTTACTGCCTATTATATATATATATATATATATATTAAAAACCATGATATAGACAAGTCCAATGTTTGTTTACAAAAAAACTAGTTTGTGGATAGATACAAACAATTTGGCTCAAATATAAGAAAATTTAGGCATGATGTATCCATGTCTATATTGATGTAAATAAATATTCATTGAAAATATCAATTTGTAAGATCAATTTTTTTATGTAATTAATAAATCTTTATCCCAAATAACTTTTATTTCAAACGTGGTCAATATTAATAATAAGTTAATTACTAATGAAAATAAGTATATATATATATTAATGTCAAATATACTTTTAATATTAATCTTTTTCATATATAATCAAAAATTATAATATTTGCACATTTATATAAAATTAAAATTTGTGAATTCACTCATTGCCTCGCTCTAATATGATTAGTTCCAAGTTTGGTTGTAAGTTTTAAACTTGAATTTATAATACATTATTGTGCGTCTCATTTAAGTTCATTTCAAAATAAGTTAATTATAAGAAATAAGTATTATATATATAATGTCAAATATACTTTTTAATATTAATCTTTTTCATTTATCAAAAATTTAATTGCACATTATAAAATAAATTGTATCACTCATTCCTCGCAATGAAGTCCAAGTTTGGTTAAGTTTAAACTGAATTATAACTCATTTATTTCTCTGATTTATATCATCAAATCAATATGGTCATATGGGCTTCTAAAATAAAAACACCAATTTACTATTGCTTTAGCCATTTGATTGATGGTTTACTTATTATTCACTGTAGATTGATTATTTTTCTTGGTAAATGTATGCAATATAGCATTTTGAATAATATATTGTAAAATAAAATTATTTCATTTTTCTGAGCTTTTTTAGGGGAGTTTTCTGAGTTAAACTAATAAACTGTTTGTGTTTTTCTAAAATTGTAAGCTAATTTCCTTTTTGGTAGAGTTTTAATGAAAAATATTTAGTTTTAGATATGTTCAAAAACCTTTATTTATCACATGAAATACGAAATTGCTATTACAATTATAAAATGATACCATATATCACTTATTAATCATTCAACAATCGGCTTTTGATATCAATTATTAATCATTCAAATGAGTAGACAGTTAATTTAAATGCAACATTTAGAATTTAATATGAATAAATTATATCTTTTGCACACGCCAAGATATAAATTAATGGTAAGTGCATGTACAACCTTATAATATATTGTGATTCATATCCCCTATCCCTATACTCAAAAAATATATATATATACCTTTTTCCGCCATGTTATTATCCAATATTATAATACTTCTTTTTTTCTTTTGAAAAACTTGTTAAAATAAAAATTCTGCAGTCCTATTAAGACTCTAAAGAATAAGCAACTCACACAGTAGTGCATGAATTACCATTTCACGGTTTCGTTTACAACACCGACTTCTTCCAGATCCACTTACAATATCATACTGATTCGGATCTCTGTTATCATATACAACTTTACCATACTGCAGTTTAAGATCCCATCCCTCATGATTATATGTTTTCTTTTTCGTTACTACCATCACCATAAATTGATCGCAGCCTATGCTGAGGTTCTAGGTTTCCACCATTACTAGTAGGAAGCTACATGGTGGAGGCTACATGGTGGAGGAGAGGGGCAATTGCCCCCCTCCCCTTTTTGGGGAAAAAAAATTTCCTATACAGCTCTGTGATTTAGACTTTGGCCTAATGCAATTTTTAAGACACCTTTAATCATTTTGGCCCTCTACTTTTTTTCATAATATTCCCTTAATAAATTTTTATAGTAGTTTGCTCCCACTTTTATAAATCTGAGCTTGGTCCCTGACCATTACCGGAGCTTGGCTCATGCTAAGGGGCAGTTCCAACTGTAGGCGTAGTTTGGGTGGGTGGGTTCAAGCTGGGGTGTAGGCCTACTTAAAGGGGCAGGTCCAATTGCAGGCTTAGTTTGGACTCTTATATTTTGTGGCATTGCCTCGAATAAATAGCTAGCAGTATTACTTGTTTCCATCCTCGATGAATTATAACTGCACCATACGTTTACTTATTCTTTATTTGGACTATAATGCCATCAGCAGAGAAGCCATTGGCTCGGATTATACCTTTAGTTGTCCCTTATAAATTTTGTACTATTTTGGTTTCAGATTTCTAAAATAGATAAGCCATTGACTCGGATTTAGACACTTAAAAATCTTAAGTTTTTCCTGAATTTATAAAAATTAATAAAATAATTAAATTTCTTATAAAAAAAATCAGAGAAGCCATAAAAAATATTATATATCAAAAAGGAAAAAAAAAAGCAAAATTTAATGTATTCGTTGATTCTAAATAGAGATCGAATTGTGGAAATTTTTCTCTGTTAGTACATATATTTATCACCTTCACCTTTTCTAAAATTGTTATTCTAAGATGTTATTTTTCAAGCCCATCATCATAGGATCGAAATTGTTGGAAAATTTTTCTCTGTTAGTACATATATTTTTCTAAATAGAGATCGAATTGTGGAAATTTTTCTCTGTTAGTACATATATTTATCACCTTCACCTTTTCTAAAATTGTTATTCTAAGATGTTATTTTTCAAGCCCATCATCATAGCGGGAAATGATAATCTAACAGCAAATATATTAATTAACAATTTCACCATATATCATCATTATTATACATACTAGTATCTCAAGAATCAAGCCATCGTCATAACCAAATTATAGTTATATTTATGAAAAATATATGTTTTCTTTATGAACTGCAATTTATGCATTCAGTTTTCAGATTAGAACAATACGCAATAAAGCTATGCGTATAATTCCAATTAATATGGAAATATGTAATAAGTAATAAAATCAAGGACATTAATATGCAGAAGCCTCAAGAGCATAAATTATATGTACCAGAAAAGAAGTAACATATAAAGTCAAAGAAAAACAACAAATGAAACATAATAAAAGCCATGAAATTAAGGAATTGAAATTGATGGATATGACAAATTGCTATTGTAAATAAAATAAAACAATAAAAAAAAAAAATCCACATCCTATTCAAATTAAATTTGGTGAAACTAGACTCTCAACATATGAAACCATTTCAGGAACCTCAATTTCTTGGTGAAACTAGACTCTCCACATATGAAACCATTTCAGGAACCTCAATTTCGAAAGTCTTCAGAGTCTTCAATTCTTTATTCTTCAAATCATACCGCAGCAATGCAGAAACATCCCAAAGTGACTTGTTAACTATAAAAACTGCATCATTCTTAAAACAAAAATGTGCTGAAACTGAGTATACTCTCTCTTGTGTGATGGTTATCAAATTTGTTCCAAGACTCTGTCACGCCATATTCTTTCATTACCCAAATATTCAAATACGCTCCTGGAGAATTCCCACCGTTACAAATATTCCTAATTGACTCCAATAAACAAAGGTTCCCTTGCAAAACAATTACCTCATACTTATTCTTATCCAATAAACAAAGGTTCCCTTGCAAAACACTTAACTCATACTTATTCTTATAATCATACATATTATTATCATTGTTTGGGAGTTGCAGCTGTACTATTTTCTCATCTGATAAGTTAAAAGCAACAACAATCTTGCTGGAATTTTCCAATTCTGCAATCCAGTGGAAAGCTCCATGCGTTAAAGTCCCCGCCTGACTAAATGTAATATCAAACCCAAAATCTTTAGGCTTTCCCCAAGAATAAGATTCCAATGAAAAAACAAGAATCCTGTAATAACCACATTGTACCACTTTATAATAATTAGTAGCAGAGTCATAACCTAACCCATAAGAAACAAAAGTGTTATAAGGAGCAAAAGTTTTAGGGTTTGGCAATACTTCACGCTGTCTAGTTGAAGGGTTCCATAGGACTAAAGAATAGGCATCGGCTCTGCCTTTGGCTTTGGTTTTCCTATGATTTAGCTTATCTATAGAAATACGTAACAATACCAAACCATCTGAAGAACATAAAATCGTGCAATTCTCGCCATTCAAAAACGGCAGTTGTTGCTCTAAGGGAGATTCAACTGGCACAGCTTCTCCTGAATTATTGACATCGTAGAAATTTGAACCACATACAAATTTGGATAAATCACCTTGGGATCGGTGGAGGTGTGATTTGATGAAGTCTTGACTAGAGATTAGAGAATTGCATGATTTTGATATGCACTTGAAACGTCTTGACTAGAGATTAGAAAGAAATTGGACATGATTTTTTGATATTGCACTGAAACGTCTATAATATATATTACCTTTGACTTTCAACTAATATATCCGCTACAATTTCATTCAGTATCGTAATTTCCCCATACAGATGCCGCCAGTTGAAGTCCTCCTGAGGAAATTTGGATCTTTCAGGAATTTTAATATTATTTATATTGGCTGAATATTTAGGGTTCTCGAACTTACTATTATTAACCCCTGGCTTTATTAAAAGTTTTCATGAAAGAGTTCGGTGCGACTTTCCTACTCTTAGTATTAAATGTGTTAAAAGAAAACACTTAAATATTATTTCATATTTTAGAAATTTTATTCTATAAATAATTTTATTTTAAAGAAAATTAAGGTATAATTTGATTAGTATGAAAATAGTTTTAAATTAATTTTATATTCGCGTTATCTAATAAAATAATAATAGGATTCTACTTCACTTCTTTATTTATTAAAAATATCATTTGCCAACTTTCTTCATATATTTTATTTGCTTAATGATTGAAAATTCGAACACATATGGAATTAATATATCAATGACTTTTGGACTGGTTAGTTTATTTAGACCTGTTTAGTTTATTTAGACATGATTTTATTATTTAGAATTGTTTTTAAAATTTTACATAATATTGAATTTTAAACACATTGATTTATACTTTGAGGAAAAAAATTTAAAAAAAATAAAAAAAAGTGATTCGGAACCTCAAGATCAACATGAAACTTAAAACTCTCCACCAATTTAAACCAGTAAAATTAACTACAAGCAATCATGATTTTGATTTGCTCTTATACCTAAGAACCAATTTGAACCAGTAAAATTAACTACAAGCAATCATGATTTTGATTTGCTCTTATACCTAAGAACCAATTTGAACCAGTAAAATTAACTACAAGCAATCATGATTTTGATTTGCTCTTATACCTAAGAAATTAGATGTTCAAAAAATACAGACAAATATGAATTTGAATCTGAAAATAGCCAATTGAAACAAAAATCAATTACATCTAAAATCAACACGCTGTATACATAAAGATTTTAAAGGAGCTTTACCTCACTAATTCATTACACTCAAATTATTCCAAAATTCTTATATCTCTCGAAAAACAAGAAAGCTTATAATAGAGAAGGGATTGTAACCAAATATAATTTAAAATAAAAAAATTAAAAACATAATTAAAAGTCCATAAAAGTGGAGATTGACTTCTGGGTCCATAGCCTCCCCTAAACTCTTCATGTTTAACTATCTTCATCAATCTTTGAGAGTTCTGGTAAAATCCAAAATCTCTTTAAGTTCTGGTAATCCAAAATAAGCCCAAATGGGCTGTTCAACCCAAATATATGGGCCTCAAAATGACTTTTGAGCTAAAAGCCAAAAACTTCATGATTGACAAAACGGGCCTAATAATGTCATTACTCTACAAAATTTTTCATGTATAAATATACGCCCAAAATGAACTCTAAACCAGTTCAAATGCATTATAAATAATTTAGGAAGTATTTTAGCCTATATTTTAATTAAAATCCAAAACCGTCTATAACTTTCTATTCTCAGACATTTTCCTATTTTGACTCGTTTTGCCTCCATAACTTGTATTGTATCATTCCCTCCCCCTTCAATATGATTTGTCCTCGAATCATGAGATTTGATAAATAATTTATCCGTGGTTACATAATCATCATTATTGGTAGAGATTTCAATTTCCTCATCCGCTCCTGACTCACATTTCACTATTAGCGATTTTTCAAGATACATATTAAAATAAATGAAAAATTCAGAATTAAATTTCTTGATTTCCTTCATATTATCTTCAAATGTATCCTAGTTGAAAAATTCAGAATTAAATTTCTTGATTTCCTTCATATTATCTTCAAATGTATCCTAGTGAGTAGCTTATCCTTTTAACTTCCAAATTTGCATAATCTGACTGTCTAGTTTGTTGTTGATAAAGTCAAGTTGCTCCTTTAGACTTTCAAATCCTTGTAGCATGATTGTGAAGAAATTCATATTGTTTCCTTTGGCTTCCGTCTCTCTCTTGTCTCATTTTTTTTTTTTTAAATTTAACAATAAACAAAATAGATTTCCAGTCCTCGCAACACACTCTCTTACATGTTTACTCTTGGAATATGGACACTCGTGTTTCACTCAAAATTCTGGCTTTTACCCTCTTTTAAGCTAACTAGGCATGGCCGGTTTAGTGAACCGCTGGTTCTGGTTCACTGAACCGTCGGTTCGAAATGTTTAAAATTTTGAACCGGAACCGATCCTTGAACCTCTGGTTCCGGTCCGGTTCCGGTTCCAGCACGGTTCCGGCGAACCGATGGTTCAAATTACGATTCCGATTCGGTTCCGACATTACACAAATTTTTTAAAAAATAATAAAATTTTGATTCCGAATTTAGAAATAAAAATTTCAGTATAATATTTTAACCATTTAGTTTTCATCATGAATATACATTCTTGTAAATCATCATCATTTTCATTTTCAATTATGACACCACTTATGGCTAAACAATGAAATGGAAATAAATGGGAAGTAGGATAATAAACACCATTAAAAATTTTTGTACAATTTTTAAAAACTTGCAAAATATCTAATATTTTTTTACAAATAGTCTAATTGGTTGAATAAAGTTGAAAATGTGATGCATGCAATTGCATAAATGAAGAAAGAATATCTTTATATACATAAGACTTATTTAACATTTTATGAATGGAAAAATTGAGATTAGAAGGAATTGAGAATCGGATGTATGAAAATAAAAAATAAAAAATAAAAAATAAACACAAGATAATTCAATATTAAGAAAAATAAAGCGATAGAAAAAATAATGAACTATGTACATTTGAGAGAATTTTGATTGAGAATAAAAGGAGAGTTAAAATATAATTGGTTGTGAAAAAAAATCATCAACTCATCATATTTATACATATTATTATTTACTATACATGTTCTCATCTATTGTGTGTTTTTCACGAGAATAATGTCCCTAATTATATAAATATATATAGTTAAACAACTATGTTTGTGTTGATAATTTAGTTAAAATTAATAAAATAAAAGAATTAAAAAATGAATAAATTTTATTTACAAAAATAAATAAACAAAAACATCCATTTATCAAAAAAAACTATTTCGTTTACATTCTTTTTTTTATACATTTGAATAGTAGTGATTTTTTTTTTATATGAATATCATACTATTTCATTGTTACCATTTTTTTTATAAATTAAGTAAAAAAATGGCAGTAGTTTTTCAGCCACTTTTTATAAAACTTTATTGTTACCATATGTACTTCTTCTTCACTCATATAATCAAATTCATACTACAATTCAATTCAAGTAATTATTATAATTTTTATTATATATTTAAGCTACAATTTTTTTTTGGCATCCGGTTCGAACCGGAGCCGGGACCCACCGACTCGGTTTAATACCACCGGTTCCTGTTCATATTAAGATTTACTATGAGACCATTACACCGCGCGTGTTGAGGACTGCCAGTTCCAGTTCAAAATGTTATAAACCGTCGTTCCCGATTCGTTCGATTCTGTTCTTTACAGTACGGTTCGCGTTCTGGTTCTAGTTTTCATTTAAACCGAATCCGGTTCCATTGCCTAATAAAACTCTTAAGCGCACTCTGTGCCTGTTTACCACTCAAGCTTCTCTTTGTCAATTGTATACACAAATGGTTAGTCAAAAACCACAATCTCTCTAAAGTATTTATACAAAAAGGTTAGTTCAAAACACAACCAAAGTATCCAAATGCATTCAATTTCAATTTAGAATCTGCAAAGAAATCCTAACAACAAAGATAGACACTCAAACACTAGAAGCAAATAAAATTCCACCAAACAAACGAACAACACAACACTAGAAGGAAATGAAGTGTATATTTGATTTTTGTTCAAATAGGCAGCAAAGAGTCAAATTTGATGCCTAATGATATAACAGATGGCAGATACAAGAAAAGAAAACTAATGGATGCAAGTAAATGACAAATCTGGAAATTGATAAAAGAAATTTGAAATTCTCAAATAGAATCTCAAATTATCACACAAAACACTCAATTAACAGAAAAGATATGGTTTTGAATGAATCCCAAATCAATTGAAGTGAGTTGAACCCAAACAGTCCCAAAACTCACAAACAGCCTAGCGATTCAGATTGAAATTAAAGCAACTAACAATCCCAAATTTCGAGTTTCCCTTGTAGTTTCAATTGTTTTTTTTCTCTTTTTGATGATA